GTCTGTAAGCGCTGACTGAGTTATTGGATGAACTTGAGGCAGTTGGCTTTGACAAAGCAAGGGAGGGCGTCGGCCGGCAGCGACCACTACAAGCTGCCTGCAGATGAATGCATTCTTCACGCAATTTCCATTGGAAGATTTTACCCAAAAATCCCAAAATTGTTTCGCTAAGTGAAAGAACTCGGACTGACGGAGAGAGAAAGTACCACAGACATGCATGCAAGAAGGAGTACTGGGAAAGGTAAAAAGACAGTTGGATGACCACTTTCCAGACGAACATGTCTACAACCGGATCTACCAACGCCCTCTCACGCCACACCAACAACTGCGTCTAATCTCATTCTTGCCTGTTTTTTCAGGTCAAACAGTTGAGTAATAAGGGAAGTGGGGAGCACGAATGAAATACTAAATAATGTCTAAGAGAAGCTCTTGGGAAGGATAAGAAGTTGAAAAAGATAGTAATCACAGTATTTCTTCCCTCTTTTGTTTCCAGGAGAAATGGCACTAAGCGGAATGTCCTTAAGCGCCGACGTTTTAGATGCTGTAGCAATACCGTGCCGCAGGCAAAACTCTGCTCATTAGGAAGAATTTAATTCTTACGTAATTATTTACCACACTGACTACACATGTTGTAGATAAAAGCCCTAGGAAATTAAAAATTATCCTTGTGAGGACGCTTTTGTGTATGCGTCAAGGTAGAGCTTGTCTACATGCATTTGGACGTTTACTATGCTGAAGGAGTTAAAATCACCGAGGAAAACGATTTCGATATATTCGAGGAGATTTCAAAATAATTTTCTAACTCCTATGTGGTCAGTTCAAAGTAAAAAAACTTCTCCTGCACTGATCGCATTAAAAGTTGCAAACTCATTAATCTAGTCACACTCTCAGCAAAAATGAATTGTCTGATAGAGTTCACTCTGTATGCATTTAAGACGATTCTGCTAGGGCGAGAAACTCTTGAAAGAACGTTGGCACGTGCTGCTTGCCCAGATGTACAAAAGTCATTAGGAACTAGAGTCGCCTGCAGTTTAACGCCGGCTTTATCGATTTGTTGCATGACTGCGGAACAATTTAAAACAAAAGCATGCCCCTGCTTAATGATGCAGCGATATTCTGCATGCATCCTAGTCGAGGCTCACGAAGAAAATACGAAGGAAGACTGGGCCAACACTAATGTTTACAGTTTGACAAAAGACAAATACTTTGCATATAAAACCTCTCCAGTCTACAGTGGGATACCAGACGGAATTTATACTGCATCGTTCATTGAGCAAACCAAAACTGCAGTCCCCGTCTGTGAACCCTCAAACACTTCGGCTTCCTTTATATCTACTGTGGAGATACGCTCTCGAAGTCAGTCTCCAAAAAAACCTACAAAGAGCTCTACAGAAGAAATTTACATTTCTGGAAACATACCATCATCACATTGTGGCGATTCCCAAATGGGTAATGTTGAAGCCACTCCGGAAAGTCTAGATCCTCCCACGGACTTCCGTGATCATGCCTCGGTATGCGTGCCCCCTGGAGGATTAGCAAAAGCAACAATGAAAGGGTTCTACTCCCGAGGTGTTCAGTGTGACACGAAGGAGTATAGTCCCAGGTTTAAATCCGTTTTTCGGCCGGTTCGCAAAGAAAATGCTACTGTCCACCCGGTCCTTCATTTGAAAAACACAGAAACCCAGACTTTGGTTCCCTTTGCGAACCACTCCACACAGACCCCCTACGGAACTTTGGGGCTGGTGTCTAGTAAACATGGCCAGGAAAGAGCAAGAAGTACGTCAAAATCCCCAATCCCCTTTAATGATATTTCCCGTTCAGGAGAGTCCTGGTTTGGCTCGGACCTTTTGTTCAGCAGATGCTCGAATAAGAATAATGATCATGACCACACTACACGTCATATCTCACAAAGGCGACATTTGAATCGATCAGGACGAGTGGCTTCTTTTCGACAGTTGCCATATATGAGGCCTAAAAAGCACAAAGACTTAAAAGAAGCCGCGAGAAGGAAGGACATGTTTGACAACTTTTCTCAGCCCCCAGAGACGAAAAAAGCCTGGGAAAATTGTGAAAGTGACGGAAAGTCCATAGACTCAAGACTATTAGGTAGCAACATTTCAGCCTTTCCCTCAAAGACGGCGAATGAACAACTAACACGGCCTTTATGTCAATTACATATTTCAACAAAGGATGCTGTCAGTAGAAAGAGCAGTCTAGAAACCACTACCGCATCTCGACGATCAGCCAACAATGGAAATCAGAATGTTTCATCAGCACTTTCTTCAATTACTTCGCTGCCTTGTGGTAGCGGCACATCGTCACTCTGGGGCAAAGAAGAAATAGATGATACGTATCACGAACAGGGTGATTTTCCAAACTCGATCACTCAGGGGGACTTGCTTCAGCAGACTACTGATGATCATCTGTCCGATGTGAATAGAAATAACCGCCGAAGCGGGACTCTGGAACTCCTGGCCAAGGCGTCCGCGCAGCTAAAAGAACTACGCCTAAGCCTCTCAGGTCACCCGCCTTCGGCGAAAGAGGCCAATGAGCTAGCAGTTGTTAGTGCGCAGGTTATCGAACCTTGGGAGGAGAAAGGCATCTCCTCACTCTCCTCCAATGGCCTTTTGCGGTACACCCAACTGTCCCTTGAAACGAACCCCAAAAGAAAAGATATCCCGAACGACCATTCTACACAAGAAAGAACTCCAGAGCCTCCAAAACGGGCAGCAAGAGGTCGGTTTCGGTTGCTTCAAAGCCAAACTCCCCAA